GCTTTTTTATTTATTTTTCTACTCTACAACTGTCTACTTGAATTGTTAGTTGAATTCGAGTACGATTTTGGATCGTTATTACACTGTTATTTTATGCGCAACACCAGAGTAGTTGCAAGTTTGTTGTTGGCCTTCTGGGACTTACGGATTTGAAGATTAAGAGATTTTGTTAGGTAGGGAGAATATTAGGACCACTGTAATGTCACTTACGTGGCGGGAAAGGTTTTTTTCTCAGGCCTTCTTTGTGAGGCCTTAGTATCACTCCAGTTGAGCCAGCTCATTCGTGCCGAAGTATGGATCTCCCACACTTAATCTTACGATATTTATAATACTCGTAAGTCCGAAATGAACCCAGTATTCAATAAGGTAGTTTACTAGAATATTTGATACCTAACCTACCTGTTAATAGATTTTTGCCAATTTTATTTAGGTTCAACAATGATGCGTTATCCAATGTTTGGCAGTTTTTATTGTCTACATAACGAAATACTAATGAAAGTTAAAACAAAGAGTCATGAAGTAAAGTAATTTGCTTAATTTTAATAAATCATTATAATTTTAATAAATCATTTTTATACTCAAAATTCAAAGTTAAAATCATTTATTCTAACTAAACTAAACCATAAATAGGTCCTTTTGAAACGTCAAAATAGAGTACTACTATGTCAGTCTATTCGTCGGTGAAGCTAGGTGCTCGTTCCAAATTGTAGATTCAAATGGAGAAGAAGAAGAAAGAAACTCCATGGTTACTCTTTTTAGAATATAATATTTTTAACCGATATTTTTGGTTAAACACTAAATGACAATAATAAATCAGTACTGAGTATTTTGCAGTAAATCAAGTGTATTACATGTTGAAATTGTAAACACAAACAATTCACAAGGACGCGTCGCGGTTGTTGCGGCTGCAGACACACTCGACATCGTAAACCTTACTCTCTTCAATCAAGGCCCTTATGAGAGAAAAGTAACACAACAACACATAATCTTTTAAACGTAGAGTGATATAAACATACCACACGTTTACTTCTCACTTATTATGACTAGGTTTTAATTCTATAGTAATAAATAATATTCCCTAATACTCGTCCATTTTTTGCCAATGGCATCATGAAACTAGAATCCGTTTGATCCAAAACCCTTTGTCTTTAAATTGGATAATTAACTAGCAGACGGGTCATCTGATGGCAAGCATACGAGTGCGTTGTTGACCTTTTAGGGATTTGAGGAATGGAAGATATTGGGTATTGGGGTTGGAGGGGAAGGATTGAACCATCAGTAACCTCACTTATACAAGATAAATACAACGCAAGCATTATTCCACTCAGGGACGATGTTCAGCCGGAGTTGCGGGGCTAGCGCAATAAGATACCGCGGCCTCGGCCTAAAGCAAGAGAAGGAACGGGGAGTTTTTTAGTCAGTAAGAGTCTGAGTCTGAATCTCTCGCCTTATCCTGAGGGAAAGAGGTAATTGATTGAAAGAGGTAATTGATTTTCCCATGACAAAAAAACGTTGTTTCATGCCGATTTTCTATAAGGCTATTCAAGCTATCGTAATCGTAAGGTCTAAGTGTGGTCCTTCGATACTTAAAAATAAGTTTTATCAAACTTGGGCTGAATTTTCAATAATTTTCCAACAGTAAAAATATGCAACAAAGGATTAGACCATTCAATAAAGCTAAAACAAATGAAGTAATACATTGGCATAATATTTATTTTTTGCGTAAACAAATTATATCTTCTATTTTCTATTATGTAATTCTGCATACATTAGATGAATGCCATGTTTTCTTTTGTTTCATATCTTGTTATTGATTTTGATTTACACAACATATGTATGATGTCCACGTTCTATCTTCATCACTAGCCTTATTCAGTAAAGTAAATCAAAGATCATCTTGTTGGCAGGGCTATCTATCATTAGATCCAAATCACGTACCAGTCCGATCCTCAGTCATGCATAAATCTCAATGACCGATTCCATCCGAGACAAACACGAGCAATTAGACGAAACTAGTAATCGTTTAATCTAAAGCGGGAGATGAAAGTGGCTGATAGTTTATCTTCTGAATCAGGAATCCCGATACACGGACACCACGACTTACCTACTACATGTCATATTCTTGTCACTGCGATGCTGCATCTTGTACGTCGTGAATGATATCGTTTCTGTTCTTATTTCATTTCATCATTACGCTCAATTAAATACGCTTCGAATCCTCGGATTAGATTAGAATGATGAACATGTACGGTAAATATTAATAGATCAGCTTTCTGGAACAGGTTATCTGCAGTGGTCTGTACGTCACTGGCTGTCCGCTCGGGGCGTGCTATCATAGCATCGTGTACATCATCGCAATTTTACGCAGTATCCTGCCTGATTACATCTAAAGCTTTCACCCGACCCGTCGATTGCTGATTCATTAAATTCTTTAATTGACGTTAAATATCACGATGATTGCGAGGGGTCATTCGTTCTTGACCCCTTCTCTGTGAATTAGTGACAATGCTCTATCGTTATTGTGGATTTAATACTTTCTTTATTAAGTGGTTATTGATTATAATGTCTATTATTACGACTCCCATTCACGGATTTGATTAAGCTCTTTTCTTAAAATTCTATGAATTTGATATTCTATGCTGATTTTATAAACGGTTTATGAATCGATATAAATAAGGAATATAGATGTTTTACAAATAATGTCAAACAAGAATTTCTTGTATGTAAGTATGGTATAAAATGTAGTTCCGTTGCACCTGCATACAGTGCACAGCGCTGCATAGGAATCTACGATAGGGCAGATAGCGATCGCTACCCTCGGCGCGACCGCTCCGCTGTGGCAAGCGGAACGTTGGCGCCACTAATGCGATCAAGGGATCCGATTTATTAGTCATATCTCTACATCGACCGATACACCTGTACGTGCCCGATTTAATGCCACAGCGGAACAACTAAGGGAACATTTATTGCCCATTGCGTAACCGTAATGCTTACCTAGTACTAGTCGCTTGCATAATCATTCGTTCCTAAACCGTTTACTTAGTAAATTGTATCGTATTTATTTATTGACGTGCTCTTGAACTTGATCGCGCTATCAGCAGTTGTAGATCTGTCCGATAATTTTCAGCTCTGCCGGTTCAGTAGTGATCTGTCGGATGCTGTTTGTTTAACATCTGTGGATTTTGATGCGTAATTTCTCCGGGACCTTGAATTCGTGTTGGTGGCTTTCACATGTAGCGGTCTTGTAACGTCACATTCGTCTTTGCGATAGGTTTTATCGGTAGATCGGACGCTGGTGCGGGAGTGCTCCGACATGCAAGGTCGAGTCGTGGCGAAACTCTCTCCGGCCATTGACTACCCTGCCCGATCAATATACGTTGGACGACAAGCCTTGTCCAATGCAGAGCGATGTGACACTCAGACACTTCGCCAGTGAAAACAGAAACTCATTAGAGCTTTTAACGACATGTATATAAGGTGCAACATATTGCGATCGATTTGACAGTATCGCAGCATTATGATCTAAGAAAGCGCCCGACGTCCGTACTCATTCGCTTTCCAACGATAAAGAATATATCAAGGCATCAGGATCGATGGTAAAACAGTACAACGAGTAGTGTTCCGGCACTACCCGTGAAATATCTGTCCAGGTTCCTCCGGTGCTATCTGCTTTATAAAATGTACGTGTGGAGACTTAATAAATGTTTTACGTACCTACCTATTACCAGCATTATGTTTATTCTTGTATATTACACATATCTTAAAGACGTCTTAAAGATGCTCATAAATAATTTAATCTAACTCCGATTACCACACTTCGATACCCTCTCCCTACAAAACACCAGAATGATGCAGTAATGGAAGTCTTTCAGTTGGTGATGATGAAATTAGCAGTTATTTAATCATTTTTCTTCGAATAGTATTGCAATTTTGACTGCACGGTTGGTGCGGTGTCTGGGCAACTGGCTGCCGTGCAACGTGTCGCGGTTTCGATTCCCGCACGGAACAACTCTTTGTGAGATCCACAAATAGTTGTTCCGGGTCTGGGTGTCATGTGTATGTGAAATTGTATGTTTGTAACCGCACCCACGACACAGGAGAAAATCCTAGTGTGGGGCAAAGTTTACGACACAGGAGAAACCTAGTGTGGGGCAAATTCTCCAACCAGTATTTAAAAACATGATAATTATACCTATTTTCAATGTATACGTATAAACCCTATGTTTACATATTATAATACACGAATATCAATATTAAAGGTTTTATTAATAAAACGTCATATCATGACTCTAATTTTAAATTACTTTCCCTTGTGCACAAATGTGCAATCTATTTGGCTATGCGCACAATACAGTGTACACAGTATGATGTTTAGCGGTACCGAAATGGTACCTTTGATTATGTTTAAGTAGAATAAATTGTGTAAGGGAGCTACATCTGCCAACAAACTACGTTACAGTTGAGCAGAAGCAATATTTTTGAAAATTTACTTTTTACTACAAACGTATGTGTGAATACATTTTACTAACATGAAAACAGACCACTAGCAAATGCGTTTCCAGTTTTTTAGGGAATTGACTATTATGCAATGAAAAATAATTATTCGAAGTTACTTAAATCCAGAACTCGATCAAAAGATGCAAATTAGAGTAGGATTAAAATGTTAGGAATATATAAAGGTTTAAAGTAGATTAAAACAATTTAGATGTATCATAAAAAATGTATTATTATAATGAGATAACTGTAGACCTTTATACAGGCACAAAACTTTTTCCAGCTTAAAATTATTATTTACAACATTCTATATTTAAAAATTATAATTCTAATGCGAGGTGTATTACCTTATTATTTTATTTACATTTTTAACATTAATTATATTTATATTTACATACGAATTTCTTTACTAGGAATAGGGAATATGGCTTATTTTTCTACATACATACATAAGTAGGTAGGTCATTCTTCCATTTTAATTTTTGAGAATCACATATTATGTAGAGATATGACATAACATGGGTACCTTACATTACATTAAAATTAAATTAAAATTAATTATTTACAAACCAGTCTGTAAGTGAATTAATAATAAATTAAATATACATTAAATGCTCAACGACGGCCTTTTCTTTCTGACACTTTTGCTGTTTTTCCCAAATATCGTGCCAATTACCTGCAAAATAAAAATAGCATTTAATAATTATTGGGCGTCGACGGAGTTTATTACGATTGATTGCGCATTTCCGTTTTAAAAATAAAAAGTAAAAAGGTTAAAAATAATTTAACTAACGTTATAGGTATTTATGACAATCTTAATTTGAATTTAAAAATGGAACTCGTAGAACATATAGTCAGAATTTTAATTCGATTCCTGATTTGACATGACCTGCTGTCATTTTGTGAAATAATGATACCATATATAACAGTGTAGTGATGAACACAAAAATCGATAAACAATCAGTGAATCAGTTTCAGGAAGACATTCAAAAAATTACGGCTCCCGAATGGTCTAAATGCGTATCACATGTTGTCAAAGAAGAGGAAAAAATGAGTAAGCTAGATATGTTAATTGACAATAAAAATCACAGACACAATTCATAATAAATGTGACAGAAAGTAACAGCGATAGCGATAGCGATGACGGCAACAATTAATAAAATTTCTGTTTTATTTGTCACGTTCCTTCACGATCACATTTTTTATTAATTTCACACACTTTTACAAAAGAAAAGTGACTGACTGATCGTTAATTAATTGTCAAAACTAAATTATCGGTTCACAAATATTTTATTTTCTGATAAACTTAGTTTACGAGAATAAATTTACAAACGAGAGGAATCGATTCAGAAATATCCGATTTCCATATCGAATAATTTCGCAACGTCACTATTTATTACGTGTCATAACGTTGCAACACTGAAATTGTCAAATCTGGAATGGAATTAAAAGTTCGAGTATAGATACCCTCACTGTCATTTTGGTAATAAAACTTCTTACGCATATTGGTTCTAGAAAACATATAGACTTATAATTTGTTTGTCACAAGTAGGTATGAAATGTGACAATGTTTCAATTGCTTATGATATTGTCTTTGTATTACGACATTAAGTCACATTATAACTCACTTTAGAGACAGAGTAGGCAGCAAGCTTTCGCCTGGGGGCGGGCAACAAGAGCGCCAGCGCGCGCGCCTCCCGCAGCAGCGCGTGGAACGCGAGCGCTGCGCCCGCGCACGACTCTGCCGCCGACACCTCGTAGAACTGACAACCGAATCTCAGCGACAGCTCCTGACCCTCCTCTGCATGGACCTCCCTATTAAAAAAGAAGTCGGTTACAAAAAAATATTCTTGATAGATCAACTAAACAAATTATGATAAGGACTTGATAACTTTGAAAAGAACTATGTAATTTTTCATACAAGTAATAATAAAAAAGTAAGGGTTTAACGTTCAAAAGTGCCTCATATTGGTCTATTTGACATAAAAAATATATTTTGAGTATAACTAAGGTGGTTGACAGCGGATGAGGATAATGTTTATATTCTGTTGTTTGCAGTTTAAGTAAACGTAACTAACATGTACCTATACCTAACAAAGTATGCACAATTATTATTATTATTCATTTAATTAAAAAAATATATTATATAAATTACTGATTTACCTGGCGTGTTCGAGGTCACGTTTGTTCCCTAAGAGGGTGACGGCAGCGCAGCCGGGCAGTCTCGTGCGCTCCAGTAAGGAAAGCAGTTCAGCTGCAGCTAAGAAGGAGCGGCGCTCACACACTGAATACACGACGGCGAACGCATCGCCCCATCTCACGTGTTCTGCTAAACAGCCACGAATCTACGAACAAATGCATCCATTAAGCATCCTAAGGAATCTTTATGTTTAAGATCGGCAAAGCAGCAGACCTGATGGTAAGTAATCAGCGCTTGCCATGGACACCCGCAACAACATAGGAGTTACGAATGCATTGCCGACATTTTAGGGATTAGGAATTTGGAGATTTAAGGATTAGGGGAGGAAAAGGGATTTTTTCGGATGTTACCAGCCCATTACATCACCCATGTTATATATTCTTTAATACTTGTAGACCTTGTAGTATACCTACTAGTAATACAAATATGAACATACACTACAGTTTATTTTTACCTACTGGATGACCGGTTGCCTAAATGTAATTAATATTATTTCTTAGCTAAGGCTCCTTAGGCTTACAAAAGGAACTCTTCAATTCCGTATTTTAAAAAAAGTTAACTAAGTATAAAAAAAAAATTACCTTCAAATAATCAAAATAAGCATTGGTTCTCCACAATTCTTATTTCAATTTACTTTTAACAGCAGCGTTAGGTAAACTTATGTATCATAATGAAATGTAAATAGTATTTTTAAAACGCCATTTCTCTAGATACATCGCAATGCAAATTGAATGTTCGTCCCGAGCATGAGAATCTAGAATTGCTAAAATTGTAAATAAAGTCAGTGAACTTAACTTATAATTGTAAATAAAGTCGCGAGCCACAACTGGTACTCGGAATCTCGTATCGGGGCCACTCGCTGCACCGAATAATATCACCGGTTGCACAATAATACAAAGCATCCAATCTATTATGTTCTTTTAGTTCCGTTATCGGTGCGTTTAATAAACATCTTCGTTGTTTAGGAAACAGAACTGGTTTAGGAATCACTGCACACCCATACAACAACAATAAAAGCATAACAATTACGTAACACGAATTCCCCCGTGTATTCTATCGTGGCGTAGGTTCGAACGTAGGATTTCGCCCGCAGCCACACTGATGCAGCAACGGCAGCGATCGCACCTGATAAGCCGATACAAGCCACATAAACTTCGTCTAATTAAATTGTACTGCGGCCATCAGCCGCTACCAGCACAGCCCACAGATTAACATCTCCATTGTTTAATGGTAAATTAAGTTTGACCGTCTATCTCTTCGTTTGCTATTCGAGCTTCGAGTTTTAATCTTATCAGAAACGACGAGCCTTTTGTTCTCAGTCAATGATATTTTAGTGTTAAAGCTAAAAGCAACATTGTTGCAGACTCGTTACTTACCGCGCAATTAGATGTATCTAGTATTTCAACTTCTGAAACGGCACCGTCGAAAGCCACTCTGTGCTGATAAAGGAAATCTGAAACAAGAGAACACGGTATATAAGTATGCGTAGTGATCGCTTTTGTACTGATATCATTGTCGTCGGCGATAGCGACAGCATTTACTGTGGTATCGAGCGCTGATAGCTATTTCCTTAATATTTTAATCCAACTCTCGAGAAATACGACATGGCGCCGACTGACGCAAACACGTCGTTTTAAGGTCGGAAGGAAGCAGACATTTTAATTTAAATACATAATACAATCCACTTCAGTAATAAGTGACAGATATGATTGAAGCTTTTGTAAATTAACCAAGTATTGACGTCACGTAAATGCCAGTTGGATAGTTTATTGAATTTGCCAATCCAGCATAATACGCACGTGTACAATTATTTTTAAAAGGCAATGATCAAACGAGATAAACACTTTTTATTGTGATAATAATGATTCATCGAGTGAACTTTACTAACCTCCTGTCGAGCTATATTCTCCGATGTACCGCTTTGTTAGATAACGCACGACCACCGCTGCAACAAAAAGAGAACCAAATGAATAACATCGTAAGAAGCACGCCTTCATCGAAGACATATTGTAAATAGGCGAACAATTAGGAGGTCGTCACTCCCAACTTTCTAGAAGCGAATGGATCAAACACTGATTAGTCCTTTCACTCCTGGAATTCCCATCAAAGGGTGGTACACAATACAAACAGTTATCAACAACAATGACCAAGCAAGTTGCGTGAATAGCGTCGGTTGTAAGCTACCGACGAAATGAAGTGTGGAGAATCCTGCAGCCCATCAAAAGGAAATGTGGCGCTATTCAACAAGCTGATTGCTTGTCCGATGCGGCCGTCAGACACGTGAGATTACGTTAGTACTTAACCCTTACAAGTGTACTGCATTTTGTCATTTGGATGATGAAAACGAGTAATTTGAATAAAGTGTAGCTTCAGACATGATAAATAGGTTTAGTATAATCAAACATGATTTGATTATGTTGGTCATTTAATGGTCACGGTCTAGCCATGACAAAGATAGGCATAACTGCAAATTCTCAATTTATTCGTAGATATTGTTTATTAAACTTACTTATTTCCTAAAGCAACTTACTGTTGTTTTGGAAATAAGTATTATTAGTATTAGTATTTCGCCTAAAATTAAAATTAACCAAAAGAATGACACCGTACAGTGAGCATTACAGCATCAGCAACTTCAGCGTACTACATTATGCAAATAAAAAACATTAAAGTCTTAAAAAAATCTTACATATAAATAAACCTATAAGGGATGTCTAAAACAATAAGAAACATTAGCAAGAAGCAGAATACAAACCTACTATCAGTTTATTTCTAGATAGTCATCTGTTTTCGTAACAAATGCTAATTAACATTCCATTACAAGAATCGTTTACGACATCAACGTATGGATAATACTCCCGAATGAGATATCGTTACTATTTGTGTCAGAATCTTGACCCAAGGCTGTTACACAAGAGTCCACGATGTCTTTATGCAACGACTGCACGTTGTCGCATGACAATGGACTTGGAATGCATTCCGTACGCATTCTGTCGCAGACGGTTAAGGCTAGGATAGGAAATCTAACCTTACAATACCGTGCCATTCCCGGCATGACGACGTAACTATAAGGAACCGATTGTGTTCTTGCTTAAATGGAAGCAGGTAAAGCTTCTCTGGTTTAATTAATTTTTCGATTTTCTTTGAATGCTTTGGATTTGTCTACTTGGTCGGTAGTAAAGTCTTATTAACCTTTTTGATTAAGAAATTCTCGATGTTTACCTATAAGCAAAAAAATAAGGATTCCATTGTTTCAAGTATGGAATTGTCTAACAAAAGAAAACGTAAACCCGAAAGCTCCCAACGTCCGCATAATTATGATGACATTATTAATTGAGAAAGAAGATCGATATCTCCGATATTTGATTGACGACCAGCAGCCGATAAAACGTCGTCTCGTCAATAAAGCAATGCAATAAAACCTTTTCAAGTGTTGATAAAAATTACAACACACCACAATATATCGTAGTTTATGAAACACGCTCAAAATTCCTCACTCTCATTTTTTCCTTTCGATTTTTTTTCCCTGTGTGCACAGAGTATTGAATGCATTACTTTCTCTGCGATCCGATTACGTACATAATCATCGAGTGATAAAGTTTCATCGATCCACTTTTAACTGAAATATGCGGAATTCAATTAAAAAATTCAGTTTTTTTTTTGTTTGTTACATACATACGAAGTTCTGTGTGGTTTTTATTGGTTTAGGTTCTTGGCGTTTGACCAAAACTGATTTTGCTGCATAAATAAATTTCGTTAAATTGCATTAGTGTTTGTACTGCGTAGAAATTTCTTGTATTTGGAAATGTTTTCCACGTTTCATGAGTTCGATCATTGAGTTGACTGCACGGTTGCACGGCGCGGTGGCTGGGCAACTGTCTGCCGCGCAAAGTGTCGCGGGTTCGATTCCCGCGCAACGTGTCGCGGGTTTGATTCCAGCGCGGAACATCTCATTGCGTGATCCGGGTTTTTGTAAACGCACCCACGACACAGGAGAAAATCCTAGTAGTAAGAATGTATAAGTGTTCAGAAACGATAAACAAGATTAGAATTAAAAACAAGGATTATCTCTAAATATTTAAATCATTATTCAGAAGTTATTGATATAGAAAATCAAATAAAATAAATGTATTTGAAGGTTATATTGAAAGATTGAAAGGTATTTCTGGTAGTATCAACAAGTAACTATAAATTGTCCTCGGTATAATGGTAATAATTAAAAAAAACTTTTAAAGAAAAATGGTACTTTTATGAATCACAAAGAAGCTAAATCTTGTATTGTTAAAACGTATATGAGTATCTGTAAAAGAACATGCCATTCGATGATATTCTATTATAGAAAAGTAGAATGACCACTACCTACTATCAACTACCAAAAACAATAACTCACAAACTGACCACTTACATAATTTCGAAACAATTTACCATCAATTTGTAAGTAATAAATTATCCGGGCTTATTGTAGTGGATCAAGAAATGATTAACGAATCTTCGCTGACGAGATTCCAATAAAAAATTACATCAAATTATGACCATCGGGGCATATAAGACAAATTGATGTGATCAAACAACACGGCATCACGTGGGTTGATAGATCGTATGTTATCTACAAGAACAATGGATGTGGATATCGACAGGAATCTTTAGGGTAATTAATAGATTATTGAAGGCATCGATCATATGTCGACTGACCATCATAGTTCAATAGCAACCATTATTACTTTGACTCGGTCTTGATACCGGTCTGACTTAGTATGGGCCATGGCAATAATTGTGACATCAATGTTGCGTTATGGTGCAATACGAGTACTAAGTAAGAATTAACGTGTAAGTGGACTGTTTCTCTAACTTATTTGTTCTAGAATGTATGACAAATTGTATGCTAATTCCATTAAAGATTACAGACAAAACTTTAAGAAGAAACTTTTTATCGTAGACATTGGCGATGATCATATTTTAAGAGAAATACTCTGATGTGTTATTTCAGATACTTATCGTAGACGTATTGAAGAATATTTGTTTATGTGCACTCATATTAAATGTGACGCTCATTACTTCAGTCTCTTTCGTCCCTAATTAGGTATTGGTCAAATGAGTTGTTGGCGGATAGGATCGTAACAAATAAGTTCATAATATGTCGTCATCTTTATGGTCCTAAAGTTAATCAACCATTGCGTTTTGTTTGAGCGCTTCTTTTAATATTATGTGTTTCAAAATCATGTCAAACAAATTATGTAAAGTTTCAATCATACAGACACATTACAAGTGAATATGTCAGAATCCGCGACGTGAGGATGTCGACGAGGCTTCGATCGCTGACACTGCACTCATTCATCACGCCGTGAGAAGGTCGTCGCACGGAGCTCAGAGCTCGCACCGCTGCGCTGACACATCCAACCAGATTATTAAAGCTTAAACCACAAGAACGTGCTTGTTAACATCCCATTTTGGCACCTCGGCGACAAAAAGGCTCTTTACAAAAGTAATTTCTCACAACGTCAAAAAATAATATGACTGCTTTCCAAAATTTAAGTTCGTTGCTCCCCAACACAATTCATTTCAGACTAAAAAAATGGATGCCTGTTGACACGATGCACTCCACACTCGACTTGTTAATTGAAATATTTTATTGACTCAACATAATTAATATTTTTAGTGTTTCGTCTTTAACAGTCCAATAACCACAGGGTGCTGAGAGACTGATCATATTTTCGAAAGAAGCATTAAACGTGACCCAGATATCTGGAAGGATATTAAGTGCAGGGCAGCGGCGGCAGTTTGCAATAACGGAATTCACTATAATGTGAAAATAAATGGCCCAGTGAAGAATGAACACGGTGAATAATGTCAGTAGTAAAAGGTTTAATGAGTAGATAATGGTCCTGAGGGCATTTACGAGGACGTGAACAGCGTATCCGTGACAGACAAGCGCCACTCCCACGGGGCCGTCCGTGGACAGGATCTACATTGAAACAATTTCGCATGTCGGCCCAGCTCGCTCCCGTCTGTAATGAATTGCAAACGCATGCGTCTCAGAGCGGTCGCAGCCGGTCCGTCAGCCGTCAGCCGGCCGACAATTAGGGCGGTGCAATTACAACCAGTCGGTGGCGAGTCGGCCGGTGGGTCAGCGGCGCGATTTCCCGACGGCGGCGACGCCTGGCGCCACCAGACGACGTTGTGTAACTCTTAAACGTCCGATCAGCCATTAACGCTGGCGTCGAGGTCGTTGCTCTACACATGTATATCACACGCCAATATCCATATTTGTAAAACATTACTGATCTGCCATGATCGTGAATCATGGCCAATTGAGTAGAGCCATGTCAGAAGCAGGTTACGTAGCCCATTTCTAACTTCGACGAACTCCGACGATCGTAAGCTGGCGTTATCGTAATTGAATTGTTTACTTAGCGTGCTTTACAAGTCATAGTAGTAAAAATAACGATGAGTAAAATCCCTGATTTAAGATCAAGTTCAAATTATTACGTGTTTTACATTCCTCTGCTGTCTTCCGCAGTGCATCTTTAATCTCATGTCATCCTGAGGTTTCGCCTTAAAAAATGGGCACAAAATGTTTTCCAAAATAATATTTTTTATAATTTATTCTCCAGTTATATTGACTGACGATATCCTTAGAGGTCTACGGAGTGGTTTGAATGAAAAGAGCTGAATATCGAGCTCAGTAATGTGCAATCGGAGAGGCCTATGTTCAGTAGTGGACATAAAAATTCTGATGATGACAATGATTATAAAAAAATATTTTATACTGAACAGTTAAACGAAAACCGTGAAAACAAATCGAGGAAAATATAAAAGAAATAAAAGCAATAAAATAAACAAAGCATTTATCGAAATATTTGCAAGACGCTTAAACGATCAGGCAGATTGTGATCAATATCGAGCAAATACATGAGATACCTAATGAGACATACGTAGACAAGTATAGAACAATACATTCATCAAACATACAGCTTATATCATGATCAATATTGACATAGAAGCATTCCATTAAATACTTTGAATAGTCTGTTGGTGATAAGGGAACAATTAAATATTATCCTACATCATAGTCTATTTAATCTTTTACAATTTACAATGTAAATATTCTATTATTCTGTGTATATGTGGCGACCAACTAGTTTATAAGATATTTAGTTAACGTAAAATTGGCTACTATTTAATAAATCATATCACACTACAATTTTGGTAGCAATTTTTTTTCTGATGGCAAATAGACTTCGGTCCGTGTCGTAATTAACACACACAAAGTAATTGAAAATATGGCAATCCTTATTCTGATTCTAAATCAAATGACTAAATTGTTAGTTGATTGATGGTTGGATATTTGGCGACGACATATTTTATGAAACAAGGTATTCTTACATTGATACTTATTTAAAAATATTAATAGCCTAGTTCTGGTGTTTTCAATACTCACGCAGAATGATATAAATAATTAAACGATCTTTTAAAAGGCATCGTGTTCAAAAAGTAACGTTTGAACTTAAGAATGCGAAGGCAATAATCACAATGTTATTTTACCTTATTTTTCAAAAATGAAATTAATAATAGAAAATGTTTATATTTTTTAAATAGCTTAAGTATCTGTTGTAATTTAAATAATAATAAATATCTTCGATGTTAAGGAACTTTTAAGTATTTAACCTTAATTTTGACACACACTTGAATATCCACAAAGAAATAAAAAGTATTTAATAAAATAAAAGCTTTCCTTAAAAATCTCACAACATTAAAAAGCGTTTTTAACGAACACTTTCAAAATTTTATGTTTAATAATCAACTGATAAAATAAAAACCGCATGTGTTTAAGAACATGGTCGGTTTAACTTTAAAATAAGGCTATTATGTCCTGCAATTCTCAGTTCCCGTTATACGTTCCCCTGATGTAATAATAACCACACAAAAACTTCTTTTAGATGTCTGAAATTACAGGTTCCGCACCTCAAATTTGCACTCTGTCGAGTTTAATAACATGTCTCTCATTTCATTACTGTTAATAATAACAAAATAAAATTAAATGCAAAATAAACTTTGGAATTTGTAAAATAAAATCTGAGTTTGTTTGTGTGACTGCGCTCTGTGTGATAGGCATTAATTGACTTTTATTATTATTATCTCTTAAAATAAAGTGTCCTTATTGATTTTTGTTATTTTTAGAGTTAAATTCGCACTTTTAGTCTTTCGAAAAATACTTGTTTTTATTTTTATTTTCATTCGATAAATGTTATTTGGTATTATTGACTTAAATAAAATATTTTACAGGTCAACGTTACTGTAGCTGTATTCGTAAATAATCATACCTTTTAAATTGCAGATTTAAAATTATAGACATTTGATAAAATACATAGTTCTTGCTAAAAATCATAAAAAATGCAGAAGTTGACGAATGCTTTACTAACCAGACTTGCCGCTCCGCGGGCTCCCTAGCACCACCACCCTTATACGATTCACAGTCATCTTCATTTGGATAGAGTTAATAATTCACTGTTTTTCTACAAAAAATATTTAGCCAGACATTATGGCAGCAGTGTCCATCAACCACTTCAGTTTATGATCACAGTTTATATCACGGTACTCGTCGATATCGCACGAATCAATGTGAGTTATCGTAAATATGATCGAGGAATATATTTCACAGAGTTGCTCACGGCCGTAAGCCCGACCGAATGCCGCGAAGTTTCCCGCGCGACTGCCGGCGTCTCTAGCCGATGCTCGGATCAAAAGCGCGTGCGCAGCCTCCGTTTCAACCTCCGAACTAGCTGACTACCTATGTATACGACGGAATTCGCACTTCATCCTACCTGATTGAATATTCATAATGTTGGCATGCCGCCCATATTGCCGATGTTTCGGATATAGAGGAGGACATTCAATCAATATTTTGTCACCCATCTGGACAGCTGGCCAAAAAACACTTGAGTTTAATTTATTTCTGAATAAGGAAAAGGGGTAGAAAATTGTAAAAGTCGATCCAGAATACGTAAGTCGACGACATGTCAAGGTGAGAGCGATGCAGACGTTCAGTGCAATAAATTCGTTCGTGCTGAGACATAATTGGATCCGCCCCGCCCACGTTCCAGCTACCCAGCTTCCTTTGTGTTACATAGGTATTCCACTTATAGCTTAGAAATACTACGAGAAAACTACTCATAATAAATCCAGTAGGAATGTAGAGCAAGTGAATCTTGAGCAACGATCCTTGCGTGAGCGGTCTTCATTAAAATAGGCGTTTTAGTTCGGTCGGTTTATACTTCAATGGCACAATATTCTAAACTGATTATTGTTTAAGCAGGCTATCTGCCAAATATTAGAACTTTTCTAGATCAAACACTACGAGAGAGTGAAAATATCCAGATATTTAAAATTAGTTTAATGTCTTCTTTTAAGAACTTGATTATCTGATGTACGTTTCCGAAAAGATTAAGATAATGAAACTGAGTTGTTATATCCTGTGGTAACCTACTAACGATCATGGACGAAGCGTGTACATAATTCTAATTTCTACGCCTAGAGCTGTGTCTAGTATACTATTTAAGTTTATAGACTGTGCGTTCTCGTATACATGTAGGTATAAAAGTAAAACCCAATGAATTACTTGTCAGTCTTCATTAGCGATCTCACAATATGTAAGCATACTTTCGAAAATAGAAGAAAATGCATTTGCATAGAAGTTAGATGGCTCTGCGGGTTTCTCTACTCATTAAGGAAGGTTGTGATGTGGAAAAAAGTGCACCGTGTCGACTTAACGCAAATTGATCGTTACCTTAGAGTAGCTTCCTCAAACATGCCACCTTACCGTATTTATGCAATCGGCGTCATAAAGATCACCTTTTAATTTAGATACGTGCGAAGATAGCATCATAAGTACGCAGTTTAGCACTGGCCCATCATATAATTTATGGATATTCATAAAATAGCTTTGGAAAGAGCAGAAGATTCATGGTAAACACATATTTAAGGATTCAGATCATCGTAAATTGATTACACGGAACACCGGTATATCTAGATTTGGACATGGTACAAAATTATTGCCTTTGTTAAACATATTGTACACGCTTAGCAGTAACACTTTGGCCGCTTTTACCGCAACAAAACATATTGCAGATGCACTGAGTAGGTATAGGCTATAAGGATCATAACTTTGATTAATTTGATACTAGACTATCGCCACGCTGCAGCCGGCTACTCTTGTTGTTATTTCCAATATTCAATTAAGCTCGGTCTAATTAAATTACTTATCAACTGCTTGAGTAATATTAAGTATTTATTTATTTAGTCGTGAGCTGGACATTTCGCAAGGCGACTCGCGTGTCAAAACTAGTTTGTTAATGGGCTCAACAATGGCAACGCTGTTCTGTTCACACTTGCCTATTAAACGATTCTTATCTCTATATCTTTTAACCTCTTTAAGCGGTGTACAAAGTTACAAAACAATTACCTTCTGACAAGGGTGGCGATGAAAAATCGAACGCCATATTTCACAGGATTACTAAACTCTGTCAAAAATGGAGTTTAATTGAATTTAATGTGTTATTATATAATGCAACGATTAATAACTCTATTGTAAGTGGACGAAGGTTCATAGTTCGAGTCATCAATCAGGTGAGACGCCATTGTATCTAGAGTATTTCGCTAACGTACCAACTTATGGTCATGTTGTTACATTTATAGGTAAGCAATGACATATCAGTTCCTAGGATGTTCTGACTGCAATGTGATTAATTTATTTAATTCAACTCTGCACAAGCTGTTTTTAACTTGATCGTCCAAAGCCTCTGTTAAGTAGATCATGTTATTCCAAGAACAAACAAAAATAACGATAAATAAACAATTGTATTGATCACAATCATACCCACACCAAAAACTGGTCCAAGGAACACACAGGAACCGTTATAAAAGTCCTTTGGTATGTATCACAAAGTTGATAATACAAAGTTCACACGCCAGACGGCCCAACACGGCCATTAAATAAAATCCAATATGTACCAAGACCCTCAGATGGGGTCATCAGATTGGCACACAACACTTTGTATTTCGGCCCTACAGAACCACTAATTAAAAATGACTTGAACACACATTTCAAAATGTTAAATTTTATACCCGAAGACCTTACTTATGATCTACAATTTTGTCATAATAGAACGAGAATGGCTATTGGCTAATATGCCACAATAAAACCCAGTGGCTGTTTATATTATAATCTTTATTCTTGTGAGAATCATTTAATAAGGATTTATTCTATTCGCGCTGTTATTTTAAAACACTATATTTTATTACAGCATATAATAATAATTGTTTGCACTAATTCATTATCAACCTATAAGTGCCCACTGCTGAGCAAAGGCCTCTTCTCATACGGAGAAGGTTAGAGCATTGATCACCACGCTTGCTCAATTCGGGTTGGCGATTTCAAACTTATAATTAAAAATTATAAATCCAGGTTTCCTCACGATGTTTACCTTTACCGTATGTCAGTGGTGTCTAAATAATCATAGAAAGTACGTAAAACTTGGAAAAAGTCACATTGGTACTTGCCAGGTTTCGAACCCACACCCTTATACATGAGAAGAGAGACATGAAGTTTGCACTAATTACTTACATATAAATGTGATTTAATTGACAGAAAATACTCAAGAATTATTGTCAGCAACCCTAAAGCCCTTTTTAGGGAGTAAGTGTTAGTCTCCTACTGTCTAAAAAGCAAGTACTAAGTACTAAGGGCAAGGGTAAGGCCGCGGTATCGTATTAACCCGTAACCCTGGCTAATCTTGACGCCCAAGGCCCATAACTCACTACGGAAGGGCGAGTCGCTAAAAATATAACTTGTGACATTCGACTAACAATTAATATCTTCATAAACTATAATAAGAAAGACTGCAGTTTGCTTGTACGGTCCATTTAATTTAATTAATAGTTTGCACATAAAACCGAATTCTTGTTGTCACATATGCCCAACAGAAATATTAAAGACATCGATAAATTCAAATATATCGCCTCCAGAATTTTGAAACCGTCATTTTCATAAGTTAACGACAGCTGCCGACCGAATTCGCCAAAATTCGCTTAATTTCGTTATCGACAAGCTCAATTATATAAACGCATATGTGTGTAATGTAATGATATGGATGATTTTATTGTTATGTTCGTTTGTTTCTCGATAAAGACATTTAAAAGAGTTGGTACCTCGAGTTATTTCTTGGTGCAGCGCTGGCCGCCACGTGCTGCAGTGCGGCAGCGGGCCGCACTCGACATGTCCACACGGATTTCACTGTCGACACTCGCGGCTTATGTAATGTTGTCAATATAATAATAAATATTAAAGTAACATCGGTTGCTCCACACATTATCGCACACAAAGATATATAAGTGTGTCATTAATAAATAATCTGTTGTCTCGTGTCTAAGATAAAATTCCTACGCAATTCGCGAGAGTTACAAGAATTGTGTCGTCGTTTAGAATATATTATGTGTACTGAGTAATCAGTGCGGTATTTCACACTGAGATTAAATTCTGCATTCCTACAACGACAATGAAATTTTTCCCTAATGACATCAATTCTGAATGGAGATTAGTTAGTGGAGGATATTGCTAAATCGGTGGCCATGACCTGTATTAGAAATACCAGGCGAACATATGTGTGAAGAAATGTAGCAGATAGAAGTGCGCGAATAAAGAAAGACGTGAGAAAACAATTAACGGATTAGTAATGTTATTTACGTATTCTCATTCAGAAGGTATGTTTTTTATAATGGCAATGACTGCAAGAAAAAATATTTCTGCAAGTAAACATTCAAGAGCAAAACATAAATGTTTCATGTAATATCAATAGAGTTGAACGGACCAGCTTTACAAGCCATAAAATCTAGTAATTTGACAAGATTGACGCCAGCCCGTCTGATCTGATTAACTCTGTACAAAAACAAGTATGTTCGTCTATCATCAAAATGATTACAGTGTTCAATTCAAGCCCGTTTATTACGTATAATTTAAACTGCAATTACTGTTGATTGAAATACAGTACTGATACTACGAGTATAATATTCTACTAGTCTTTTACTAAGTGCTCTTTAAAAATAATATAACCTTTTGCTTATAAGTAATCCTTTCCTTGAAGTCTTGGTTTAAATATAGTCTCCTCTGTACTATCCAGTTAAATTGTTTTTATAACTAATAATAGTATCTGGCTGATAACTTCCCATTAAATAACTACAATACCTAGAATGCTTGGAGGCGGATTACGTTATATATTTTGATTTAACTTATTACTGGATCGTTTATTAGAGTGTGAGTGCCGTAATGAAGATCTAATTAAGTATCTTAATCCATCGCAAACAATAGGCTACATTCTGTAGCTAAAGTGTATAAAGATTTATCTATAAGATGACATCATTAAAATATGTAGGTCAAAGAAAAATTATATGATAGGTGCGCACCAAGAAAACACATTAACGTAAGTAACAACATTAAACCCGAAGAAACTCACCATTTGGAACACAAATAATATAAAAATAAACGAAGCCCGGACTTCGCCACAAGTTTTCTCCACGTCGCAGACGACAGCAATTCATAAAGATAACGAATTGAAATGCGATTAACAGTTAACGTAATGCCTTTTGACGATGTTAAAACTTAAAGAATATTTTCAGCAATAAAACATTATTTACGCTACAATAAATCTGTACGTCTTCAAACTTCGATAAATGGATTACAGAGAGGTTAATGTGAAACGTTTCTTTATAG